AGGTCTAGTCTGAGTGCTTCCTTTGTATTTTTACTATTGGGGTTTGATTCGAGCATAACTGTGGTTATCCTTATGGGATTGAAGCTCTAATCTGTATGAACTTTGGCCTAAGGGCTTATATCGAAGATAAGTTTCTTTACTGTTACAGTGCTTCATAATTTCAGTATACCATTGTGTTCAGTTTTATTTCGGTTTCTTGAAATTCTTATTTCCATATTAGTATTATTAACATTACCAGATCTATTTTTTGTGTTGTTTTGTGCTAATCGGTTTTAACTCCTCCCAACAGTGGTATCAGAGAGTTTTTTGGAAGGAGCTGTGTGACTAAGTTGTGCTCTGTTCTTTACTAATACTGCAAACTTGAGCTGATCTGCGTATTTCTTGAAACCTTAATTAAAAGGGCTTGGTGAGATCTTTACAGTTTTTTGAATTTTCTGGGTTATCACGTTTTCTTTCTAGCTATATACGAGTGATCTGTGTTCTGAATCAAGTTTGGCATCTGATCCTGTGTGGCTATGTTGTCTTGATTTTCTGTTTGATCGATTTCTTACTGCAAGTATTGGGTCTGCTGCCTTGGTTGGTTTTTCTTGCCTCTGTAGATTATCTAACATGTGCTTTTGAAAACCTGAATCTAGACTCATTGTAATTCCTTTGTCCAGAAATCGTGAGTTATCTGGAATTTGAGGGTTACTTGGACTACAGTTGAGATTCTTGATAATCTTGATTTTCTGAAAAATTATCTTGCAGTACTGTATAGCTAGTTTAAATATTAAGTTATATAATTCTGAAAGTGCCTGCTCTCTGTTCTTGCAATGTGTGTACTCTGTTGTGTNTATATAAAAAATAAATAAATAAATATTGTGTGAATATAATAATCTGTTTTTAAAATTAGTGTAGGCATAGTTAACCCCTATGCTAAACCTGCCCCTGGACCTGATACTCTAATTGGCGGCTTGAAAACTATGGTCATCTTTAAAGTAGAAGGTCATGTCTTTTAATTTAGAAGATTTTGATAATGATTTGGCCAAGACTTAAGTCCCTTCTACTTGTCACAACCTTTCATACATTTTTCATAGAGTAATTCCCACATTTATATAAAGTTACAACTACTACCTTTATGAAAGTTAGGCACTTGGACTATATAGGCCATGCCCACACATATATGGTAGCATTTGCTGCTATGGTCGATAGCCATTTAATTTGTTGGAAATATTGTATCATTCTTTTATTTCACTTGCATTTTGTGACGACTTAGTTGAATAAATGAATGTATCTTTTTCGAAAAAATATAGATAGGTCAATCATGCATTAGGCATTAAATGCATTATGTCCTTGCGTATCTCTAAATGTTGTAATATAAAATTCAACTTCACTTGTCTGATTTTCTTTGATTCGTACTTCCATAAATGGAGAAGCATTAATGCACGAAATTGCAGGAAATATCCAAACGCTTTTCAATATAACAATCTTATTGATTTTACGAAATTTAAGGTTTGCCTCTATTTTGGTCACATTA